TTGTGTTTGAGTCGTGTAATCCGTCCGTGTATATTCTCACATGCGATGACCATTTTTCGTTCAAGAATTCGTTCGAGATTATTTGAGTATGTTGCGGATTTCTTTCCTAACAACATTACGCAGGCTTGTATCATAGTTTGGATTGAGTTAAGTCCATGGAGCTTGATAAGAACATACCCTATCAGTGATTTGATAGTGGTCTAATCCTACATCTTTTAATAATTCATTTACTCTGTGACCGAACGGTTGAGTTTCCGACTTCACACATTTCTTTTAAATTTCTTCGTTGATGATTTTTTGTGCACTTGAATGTTAGACAGCTAACCCCAAGATAGTAACTTGGTCCAGTATCTTAATGTCAGTTCGTTGCGCCTCAGTTCGAATGACATTTCGCCTACTTCCTGCAATAGACTGTCCCTTTTTGTGCAAAATGAAGCTTTTGTTGCTATCTTATATCATGGCCTCACCGTTATTTACCACTGACCGACTTCAAATTAGGTTGACATCAATGTTCTTAATCGGCTACTTTTTTGTGGGTTTTAGCCGATTGATGTTAAATCTAGTCGATTGGCAAAACAATGAACCGGCCACTTTGGTATAATAAATCAATCTAATTTCGGCCAAATTGGGGGGTTGGATGGCCGAATGGTTAGTACGTGCGCGCTGTATCATAAAGCCTGTCATTGAGTCAACTGGCGTGGTTTCGAATCCCCGGTTGTACGTGACAAGGAGTAGGGTCGCCTGTCCAACCTCGTGGGCTTTCTCCGGGTCCTCCGGTTTCCGCCCACTGCTAAAGACCGTTACGCGCAAGCGAATTATTGAAATAAAATTAAACCATATGTTAGTCCCGAAATGACCTAGTTTGTGTCGAGTGGACGTTAAACCCCATTTCTCTCTCTCTCTGTACCAAATGAAGCTTTTCTTGGTATCTTATATCATGGTCTCCCCGTTATTTATCACTGACCGACTTCAATTTAGGTTGATGTAGTTACATCACTGTTCTTAATCGACTACTTTTTCTTCGGCTTTAGCCGATTGATGTTAAATCTAATCGATTGGTAAAACAATGAACCAGCCACTATGGTTTCAGGTATCAATCTTAATCTACTTTCGGCTAAATTACAACAGGTTAATTATTACTCGTTAATTAAGAAGTCAATCAACTGGCTTGTCGGCTACAACCGTCATACCTTAGTAAGAATCGGCCAAGTGGTTGATAATCCGAGTAATTAGCACATGGAACGGTAATTTTGATAATCCGGTAATTTTGATAATCCGGTAAAAAAAAAACCAAAAAAACCCAAAACCACTAGCTTGCTGATTATTGATAATAGCTCCAGTAAAATGCCATTGTGATAAGCCACGTGGCGAATGGAGACGGTCTCGGCATAGTTTGCGAATCGCACGTCTTCGACACTCCGTATGAATTCCAGGTACAGGTAGATATTAAAACAATAACTGGATATTGCATTGATGGATTCACTAGGTCCAGTAAGATGCCATTGTGATAAGCCACGTGGCGGTTGAAGACGGTCTCTTGGTATGAATTTTAGATACCGGTAGATATTAAAATAATAACTGGATCATGCAATGATGGATTCACTGATCAGTTGTTAAGTAAATTTAAATCTCCATTGAATATAATCCCCCTATAAAACACCGAATACAGTCGAATAATACTGCCATAAGTTCTGGTCACTTGTGTCGGTTGGGGCCCACCATTGTTAATCCCACGCTATACAGACTGGTACCATCTATCCATAGGTGTTTATGTACCTGTTGTTTCATAAATAATTGGGGGTCACTTGGCTAAGAGGGTAAGAGGCTGGCTCGCTATCCTGGAGGTGCTATCCTGGAGGTGTTCGATCCCTGAATTGACCTGCATTGGCCGAGAAAGTTCATCCAGATTTTCCTGCATGGTTCCACCTTGTCAGTGATGCGGGACGGAGGGCCTGACAAGGACAGCTATCTAGTCGTTCGGATGGGACGAAAAGTCGAGGTCCTGTGTACACATTGGCGTGCACATAAAAGATCCAGTGACAGTTGAAATTCGATATAATAGTAGGTCGTAGTGCCGCAGTCCAGGCAAAATTTCCTTCCTAGCACACTGTATGGCGTTTGCCCAGTTCAGAGCAGAACAGTAGGACGTTAAAACCCATTTTGTTTCATTTCATAAATAATTCAGAAAATATTACTCCAGCTGAACTCTGCTGACAATCTGGTCAATGAGTACTGGGAATGAAATGGGTTTTTACCTCTGCTCCGACTGAGGATATGTACTGGACATCTGCATAAATAAGTCTACTATTGTATAACTTTCAACACTTTTTTAAATCATATATAGATCTACATATTTAATATCTAACTGGTAAATAAACCAACTCAAAACTACTACACGGAAATAAAGCCATTAAAGAAAAAGACTCTAAATAATTGAGAAATACATGTTGATGGAGAGATATACACCATTGAGCGATCAAAAAAAAAAAATACTTTAATTAATACAGGTTTAATACTGAATACCTATAACTATGGGTGCAGATCTCCCTCTGAAGAAATGCATGGGTCCAAAGCAGGAAAAATGAAGGAAAACATTCTTTTTTTTTCTCACTATACCCTGTAAGGCCACAAAAAGTTGTATTTGCGCTTCAATTTGACATTTTTTCTTATCGTGTTAGGTATTCTTTAAAAAAAGGCATTTGAATATTTTTGTAGGTGGCTCCTTGAATCTGCAATTGAGCTTATGGTCAGACGCAAAATGCCCGCAATAAATTTTGAAATAGAGAACTCATTTGCTTCATTTTAATGACTTTTGTGACTCATAATATATGTATACAGCGGTGTAAAAATACAATGGTGTACATATGCTCAGGAATACTGTTTGCATAAAAATTCATTACTCAATTATTATATAGTCCCCTGTGCCTGTCATCCCTCTTAGCTTTTCTTGTAAACACTCTACACACTACAATTCTTGTCTCCCACTACACCCCTCCCTCCACCCCACCCCCTAGATCTGTACCTATTAAATATTGCTACAGACTTAAAAGCTGACTACATATATAAACCATAATCTACAAACTCACAATATTCTAAATAAATATACAACATTACTCTGCACAATAATATTATAAATAAATTAAATTTCTTATAAAAAATTCATGAAAAATATATATGAAATAATTTAATTAATACACTTTTGGCAAAGCAGCATTACTCTAGAATTATTAAATAGCAAAAAGTAATAGCACATATATAAATATATAAAATAAAAGTAAAGCTGTTATACATCATGAAAATACTGACAAAATGAACACAAATTAGTCAAATCAAAGGATTTGTGGTTCTCGAGATCTTAATTCTAATATCACCAAGTGTGGTTCTCGAGATCTTAATTCTAATACCACCAAGTGTGGTTCTCGAGATCTTAATTCTAATACTACCAAGTGTGGTTTTTGAGATCTTAATTCTAATACCACCAAGTGTGCTTCTCGAGATCTTAATTCTAATACCACCAAGTGTGGTTCTTTAGATCTTAATTCTAATATCACCAAGTGTGGTTCTCGAGATCTTAATTCTAATATCACCAAGTGTGGTTCTCGAGATCTTAATTCTAATACCACCAAGTGTGGTTCTCGAGATCTTAATTCTAATATCACCAAGTGTGGTTCTCGAGATCTTAATTCTAATATCACCAAGTGTGGTTCTTAAGATCTTAATTCTAAGGCCACACAAAATAAATGTCTTGTTTCTCGGGCAACTGACAGCTGAAACTGTAGGGAGGGAGGGCGGTTTCTTTTTTTTTTTTACTCATTGATGGTGCAAAATAAAATTTGGCTATTGCTGAAAATTGTTGGGGCGGGAGGGCGGTCTTTCTTTTTTTTTTTTTAAATGAGAAAGTCATTACTTGTTTACGTTTTTGCTTTCCGTTATATTCAACTTTATTGTACATACTTAAAACAAACCCAAAATCAAGTCTACTAAAACACTGAGACTGAACACTGACTGAAAGGAAAATAATTTTCCATATTTAATTCACATAATTGAAATTGGTTTAAAATAAAATTCCATACGACTATGTAATAGCCCTCCATAAAGACAACAATATTTTTAAAAACAAAGCCTCTTTCACCAGGTGTATCAAAAATAATAATCATGGTAAACAGTATTTAAAACTAAATCTAGTATCGCCGGTTTATTTATAATTATTTACCGAATTCCAACCAATGCATGTCACACCGTGTCATCGGTATTGGAGATTGCCGGAAATACTGTTTCTTGGGATATTCGGTGTGTTTCTCAGGATATTCGGTGTTCTATCCGGTGTTTATATTGAATGACTATTTAAATCTAACTAACAACTGGTCAGTAAAACCATCAAATCGGTAATCCAATTATTATTTTCCGGATTATCGAAACTACCGTAAATGTGCTAATAATGACCCAGATTCTAAGGTATGCATTATGACGACTATCGTCATTGTATCGTATTCTTAGCTATAATTAATTAACCTGTTCTACGGTTCATTATTTTATCAATAGGATTTTCCAAACAAGGACCGACTGAAGCCGGCAATAATGAGCCGATTACGATCGAATGATTGAAATATTGTCGCCAATGACTTTTAACACGAATCAAATTCTAGTTTATCAGGGGAGGTAATTAATATCACGTGATACAAAATGGAGGTTCTTTCGATATCAATAAAAAAGGCAAATCTGCCAAACTTCGCCATTGTTCGGATAAAAAAGACAGCATGTTCATCTGAATCAGTTTTAATACATTTGAATAGATATACATGTATGGCGAATGTAGGTACATGCGGGATATTTTTTTTACGACTTGCTTGTCGATGTGCGGGCGGGCGTTACATATTTATTTTTTTTCATCAAGACTAATAAATAGACTGCACGCGCAACCAATTTTGCGTGCGGGCGGTGCCCGAGAAACAAGTTATTTTATTTGTGTTGCCTAATACTACCAAGTGTGTTTTTTGAGATCTTAATTCTAATACCACCAAGTGTGCTTCTCGAGATCTTAATTCTAATATCACCAAGTGTGGTTCTCGAGATCTTAATTCTAATATCACCAAGTGTGGTTCTCGAGATCTTAATTCTAATATCACCAAGTGTGGTTCTTTAGATCTTAATTCTAATATCAACAAGCCTGGAAATAAGGCACCTGTCACAAACACAATCCCTCTAGTGCAGTGGTTCTTAACTGGGGGGTATGTGTATCCCCTGGGGGTATGAAGCATCAAAGCAAGGGATACCGTGTATTCAGTATATTTGTATGTATTCAATGCATTGTATAAATAAACTAACATTGTATTTCATGTCAATTATTATATTTTCATTTCTTTCTGTAAGTCATTTTAGACAGGGGGTACACAGTACAGGGAAATATAATGTAAGCTCAAGGGGTAGCAGCACATAAAAAGGTTAAGAACCACTGCTCAGGTGCCTGTCATTTTGCCCAGCACAGGTTTGTATTTTTTTCATTGTTTCTATTGATATTTATAATACAAGTCTGGCAGAATTTTCAAAATGTCAGGTACCAGTTCATTAGTGCCCAAAATTTTTTCAGGTGCAACAACAATTATTAGTTCCATGTTTGAATATCACACATAATAATATATTAAAATTGTATCATAAAAACATCAATTATTGGAATGATTTTAATTTAAAGTAAAAGATCAATGGTCTTTTATTACAGAAAAAGCGTAATATTACAAATTAGCACAACTATTATTGGATATAATGCCACTCAACTTAATCCCAAAACTTAATCATATAAACCATCACTTTGCGGCCGAGTGGGAAATTTCCCGACATCCCGAAGGGGTAGTCCCCATTGATGCAACTTTCAAACCACAATTGAGCAATTTATAATTGGTATATTTGTAAACTATGCCATCAATAAAACAACTATAGTATACTGGAATAAGATAGAATAAATTACTGAGCATAGAAAGTTTAGGAATGTTTAGAATTCTAGTATTAATTATATTTTTAATTAATTGTATAAATAAAGTTTAACATTGATAACAACCTTTCATAAATTAAATAAATATTCTATTTATAGGATGAGAATAAAAATGAAAATATGAATTTATAATTCATATAAAACAGAAAAAATAATGGAATGATATTGTGAAGATTTTCAGTCCATTAATATGCATACTTTTTAAATACTTGCATAGCAAAGTTTAAAATTATTGGACCCCACTGCACAAAGTATACCCAAGTCTTATGCACACCTAAACTGAACAGCATGCTATTGAATTTATGTGTATGGAACATTACAAATTCTTCCTGATAAATTAATTATTACTTAATATCAACAAAGCACTTAAAATATTTGCTATTTTTACAGCTGATAGCCCAGTCAACACTACCATCCGTGTTAAGCAATATAAACATCACTATTTAAAGTTGATAAATCATAAAATAATGTGAATGTTTATCAGATATCCTGTTAACTAATCACTATTTAAAGTTGATGCACCAGGAAATAAAGTGATTGTTTATAAGCTGGGTTATAATTTAATCACTATTTAAAGTTGATACACAAGGAAATAAAGTGATTGTTTATAAGCTGGGTTATAAATTAATCACTATTTACAGTTGATACACCAGGAAATAAGGTGATTGTTTATAAGCTGGGTTATAATTTAATCACTATTTAAAGTTGATGCACTAGGAAATAAAGTTATTGTTTATAAGATGGGTTATAATTTAATCACTATTTAAAGTTGATACACCGGGAAATAAGGTGATTGTTTATAATTTAATCACTATTTAAAGCAGAACCAATGATTTTTTCTACAATAACTGGTATATAGTTGTACTGTTTAGCCTCTTTCTTTGGTTGAGTTAACAGACTTCCTGTATAGTTAGAGAATATTCTACACGGTCTGAAGAAAAAAGAAGATTAAAACTAGATTCATATTGTTACGAGTGATAATGAGGTAGATTGAGTGGGGAGAGGGGGACAATAGAAGGGGTGGGGAGACAGTGGGGCCAAGTAAAATTTTTTTGCAATAAAGTTATCCTACTAAGGGGTGTGTTGCATGAAAACATTGAAACTCATCCACCATGTTTCGCTGAATTATTGCAGGGCATTACTCCTACCATGGTGTGAAAATAACAAGGATAGAAAGAAAATGAAATGCAATGGGGTTTAATGTTCCATTGTTCTACTTCAACTGGGCTAATGAAGACAGGCATACGCCATACGGAGGGCAATGAGAGAAATTTTTCCCGGACAGCAGCACTACGACCTACTCTTATATCAAAGTCCAACTGTCAAGGGGTCTTTTACATGCACACCAATATGTACGTACATATTATATAGTACATCACATCATTATATAGTTTTCATGTGACAATAATTATAGAGGTGCTAATAGCTATTTAATCAACTTACATTTCTTTGCCACTGTCATCCAGTTCATTAGCACGATTCTGATGATTCATATAGTCCAGAACAGCCAAATAAACTCTTGCCTTGTATTCAGTAAAACTGAAAAAATAAAGCAAGGGAAATAATTCAGTATCTTGTTGATAAATCAGTGGTCCGAGCTCAAATTTTGCACAAAATCAAACATAAACATGTCTGTTCTAATAGTCCAATTCTTTTGATTGGTAATTAACTTTTTAACGATGCATATTAAATTTCTACAACTATAAAAATATAGTAAAAAAACATTTAACCAAAATATTTTACAAATGCACTATTTTTATTGGCTAAGAGTTAAAATTTGTTTTAGGAGTTTAACTTTTAACAAATGAAATAAAATAGGCTTTAATGTCCTGCACCGACTGGGCTAATGAAGACTAGCATACGCCAAACAGTGTGCTTTGAGAGAAATTATGCCCAGACAGTGGCAATACGGCTTACTTTTATATCTAATTCCAACTGCCAAGGGATCTTTTACACAAACGCCAATGTGTTCACAGTACCTCAGTTTATCGTCTCATCCAAATGACATGAGGGAAACTACTCCGGAAAATCCCAATGAACTTTTTTGGCCAACACCTTTTAACCAATGGAAAGGCTGTATCCTTAATATATTATAGTTTAAATTTTTGGGAATACGGCCCCTAGTTGATAATCTTGCTGGGACAATAAATATGGTCACTCAAAACACAAAAATTTTGTGTGAATATTTTGTATCAATAATATAGACCAAATAATTATATATTAAAATCTACCAACCTATATTTGTGATTATCTGGTGTATATATTGTAATATAATCCATCAAACATTCCAAACCAGATGTTGTTCTGAAAATATAACCAAACATCCAAAATCATTAACATAAATTTTTGTAGTCAATTATTCAACCCTGTTCCAAAGTTGAAATACTTTATTCTGAAAGAATAACTATTAAATAAATGGAGATATTACCCATTTTGACAAAGACATCGAATTGCAAGAATCTGGATAATTCAACCATGTTAATGATTGGGTGATAGTATTTGATATTTTAATTTGAACTTGCATAGAGACAACAAAGGGGAACAGGAAGTGAGAGAGAGAGAGAGGGGTTAACATCTACATGGTTCAATTTCATTAATTCGCTTGGGAATAGGGGTCTTTATAAGTGGGTCCCTACTCCTCATCACGTAACGCTGGGTGATAGTATTTGATATTTCAATTTGAACTTGTATAGAGACGATGGAAGGTGACAGGAAGTAACGCTGCTGGAGATTGGGTATTTGAAATCATACTGAGATGATGAAAGGTGATAACCAAGTCTCTAAATCGATGTCATCCCATGTCTTCGACATTGAAAACATGAATTATTTGTCAATTTAAATCAACATTGATGTTGTGATCTTACTGGGAAAAGATTGGCTTCTGACATTTTACTATTGGTACATGAATGCGTTTCAGCCCCACTTGTAACAAGGGACTCAAAAAACGAGGCTAGACATATTCCACAAGTTATGTCATACGGTGATGCCATATTCTTATCTGGAGAGCATGCACAATAAATACTATCGGTGTAGACTGGAATAACCCTAGAGACTACTATTTGATTGAGACTTCTTGCGTATTTCGCCAAACATTACTGATTTTAAATTAGATTAAAAAACAGAAGTAATTTGAGGTAAATTAGTTTATATACATTCATATTACATTATTATATGCGTTGAGACCCATTTGTGGCAATTTCCGGGTCCCAAATATTAATGACTAGAAGAATGCCCGGCTTCGCTCAGGGGTCATAACCCCGAAACCGGAAGTGGTAGACTAACGCCACCTGGCCTATGTTACTCCCCGGTCCGAGCTACCCCTATACCCCAAATTTCAGACTCGGGGCAGACCTAGTGTAGCTGCCCACCCCGAACAGACAGACAAACAGACAGACAGACAGACAGACAAACGACAGTCACAAATATTAGTATAGATTTAGCTCCTCTAAACCACATTTCACTTCATATTTGTTTAACATAGTTCAATGTACTACTATCTAATCATCTAATCATCCCAGCATGAATTGCACAAAAATCATTATATTTTGATTCCAAAGAATGAGAGACAATCAGCACTTAATTGATATTATCAAATATATGGTGTAGTCCAACTTGACACGAGTGCAAATGCTCACAAATTAATGGAAGTTATTTCTAACTATCATTACCTGTTAGTGGAGAAATTAGAGAGTATTGAAGATAGTGGTTTATTTAGTAGAGTCTGTTTAAGTTGATTGTGAGCAGGTGAATCTGGTACTAGCCATTGTTTACTGTCATGTGGTAATGGTGGATGACTACACTCTCCCGATATCCACTGATGATTGTTCATAGTGTGATGTATTATACCAGTCACAAAACTATCCTGAATACAAATTATACCCAGTTGACAATTCTGTTAATATTAGGTGAGAGAGAGAGAGAGAGAGAGAGAGGGGGGGTCTATAGCAGTGGGTGGAATTCGGAGGACACAGAGAAAACCCACATGGTTGGACAGGTGACCCTACGTACAACCGGGGAATCGAAACCACGCCAGTTGACTTAATGACAGACCTTATGATGCAACACGCACGCATTAACTAATCGGCCATCCAACCCCCCAGGTGATATAGAAATAAAGTTGATATAATGGTAGAAAAGGGGGCCCTATAATATAACTACATCAAGTCCATGTGAGTGCACAAAGGAAATTTAATGAAATTGGGTTAAATATCCTACTGTTCTGCTATGAAGGAAATTTTTCTGAGACAATGTGTTACGGCCTGCTCTTATATCGAATTCCAACTGCCAAGGGTTCTTTTACGGTCGTGCCAATGTGTACACATGACCACGTTTTTTGTCCCATCCGAACGCATATACGGTGTCGCTTGCCAGGTCCTCTGCCCTGCACCACTGACAATGTGTACAAAAGAAATCCAATGGGAGAATACAAGTTTAGTCCATATCAAACTAAAACTGTTATTCTCAGGCACCACCATATCACATAACCCATTTTTATCTACCAATATAGTTTTATTAGGCTGTGACAAAATTATCTTTAAGTTTACATTGGTACAATTATATTGAAATAATTACCAATAAACATTTGTACAAAAATCACTCATTTTCGTGCACACTGACTACTAAAAATTAGAGGGTGCATTGGTTATAATGTGTCTCTTTTGTCTTAAAACAGAACACATCCTACTGTTCAGCTTTGACTGGGCTAATAAAGACAGAATATTTATCAAATAAATTATAAGTATGTGGCGGGTGTAGCGCCAGGAAGGGTAAGCTTACTCTTCCGGACACCTGTTACCTGTATGTACATGATGACCAGTCCATTTTCTGATTACACTATTTTGCCTATACCGTTTTTTTAGGGTTTCAAATTTTGTCTAATGGTTTGGATTGTTCGTACTTTGTTTTATTTTATTTATATTGTTACTGACCAGAAATGCTTCCTCATCAGTTGACGCCCACAATGTTCCTGACATATCTGCACATCTATTACTACAGTCTAGAAAATGATCAACAATATCTGGCAACCATGTTATTATTTCACCGCATCCTTCTTTACTTGATGCCTGAGAATGAGAAATGAAAACATGAAATTAAGCATCCAAAAGGATATTTTCTTTAATACTGAAAATTTATCCATATTTTTCAATTTACCCATTTGTTACTTATCGAAGATAAAAATAAATGACAAGCCTTTTTTCTGCGCCAACTGGGTTAATGAAGATGGATATAATACTGTGCAGTGTGCTGTGACGGAAATTTTACCTTGGCAGTTGTGCTAATTCTCTTCTCATTTTAATTTCCAACTATCAAAGGATCTTTAATGTGCTTCTAATGATATACATGGGACTATTTTTTGTCCCATCTGAAAAACTAGACAACTAGACAACTAAAGGAAAACAGACTGGAAACTTTCTTAGCCAACAGTGTGGCTTCCTCAGATAAAAGTAAACAAAATAAAATGGAATTTTCAGATTCAAATCTATTTGAAATTATAATGTTTATATTTACATGTAAATTACCATATTTATTTACCTCAACAATTGATTTGCCCACCATTTTAGCACCTTCCCACATATCAAAACTTCGTTTGATGTCTGGATGTTTCTTCTCTGTTAGCAATAAAAAAAAATAAGCATTTTATTTATTTTACAAATCCTAATCAAAATGATAAAATTGTCCAAGTTTATACAGCATGAAATACAAAATAATAAAATTGGACCTTTGTCTATCATCAGACTGAAAACATTGAATAATATCTAAAAATAGGATCACAATAAAATAACCAGATTTAAAGTTGCTGATCATTGAGGGATTAAGGAATCCCTTGCAAACTACAATATTGTGAATATTGAATCTCTAAAGGAATATAAGTCTAAAAATGGTTCAGTTTCATTCAGCATTTACAAAGATATGATGAATTGAATATTCTGAAACATTCAGCATACTCTGTCGACAATATAAATAAACCGGTGACACCTGTAAGTCTTGGGTAAAATATTTTGATGGGCCTCTTTTTAATCTGATTTAATTCAATCTGTTAGATTAAACATGCATTATGCAAGAGCAAAATCTGCTTATTACAAGTCTTTCTTTAGGCCCGAAATGTTATCTCAATTATCAATTAGACATTAATTAACTTATCCAGACCATAATAAACTCTCGATGTCAAGTCTAGCCTTCCATTTTGGCTGGATTAGATTCCTATATGCCGCTAATGGCCACTGATAATTAAATCAGAAAAAGTGGATAATCGAGACTAAGCTGTTTATATTAATGATTTTAGTAATGATGACCGAGACTATGCACAAATTTCACCCGCTTCTTTCTCGGCTCATAGTGGATCAATTTGACTGAAATTTTCAGCAAATTACCTTTACACTGTCTAGTTTTTATCTATTATAGTGAGAACTGCCATCTCTTTATCTTATCTCCCACAATGTATCTTTAACTACTGTTGACATTTTGATTCTTTTTTTTTTTTTTTTCAATTAAGTAAGTCTAAATAATCAATTTGATTATTTTTTATAATTGGCTTGATAATGTTAAAAGGACCCTCATTGAAACATTGCTTTAATTAAAATAGTAATTGTGTTCCATATTATGTTATTGTTTTTTTTAATAAGAAATTATGAATTACTCAAGTAGCTGTTGATCCTTGGTTCTATGTTAGTAACAACTTCCACTACTCTAGCTCCAGCTTTCTGTATCATATGTAGGGCTTTAGTAAAGGCCAGTAACTCTAGCTTCTCTGTGTGTGTCTGACTGTCTGATTCCTTCTTCTCTACAACCGATATATACAACACTTCCGAGGATTCGTAATCTAAAATACTGAAAGTACAGAAACTTGCCAACTGTTCTTTCTTATCTTGTAGTCCACTACCTAAAATGTCAACAAATTTCTGTTTTATATTTTTATATACCAGTAATGGGAGTTGGATGGCCAAATGGTAAGCACCTCTGCGCTCTATCATAAGGTCTTTGAATCAACTGGTGTGGTTTCAATTTCCTGGTTGAATGTGACAAGTAGGGTCGGTCGCCTGTCCATCCTTTTGGGTTTTCTCTGGGTCCTCCTGTTTCCTCCCACTGCTAAAAATCCTTACGCACAAGTGAATTTTTGATATAAAATTGAATAATATGTTAGTCCCGAAATGATCTAGTTTGTGTCGAGTGGAGGTTAAACCAATCTCTCTCTCTCTCTAGCAGATAGACAGTTCAACTTTTTAAAAGATAAAAAGGGAACAATGTAGTAAAGTGACTAACTTCTGCCACTTTTTCAGAAATTATGCCTTATCGATATTAGCAATAACCACCAAAGATAGGTTGCCAGGCAACAAAACATACGCCCACAGCAGCTAAATCGTCCGAGCAGTCATCAAGGGTTGTTGCATATTTATTCCTTTGTAGGTAATTGGGGCCTTTACAAGACAGTTCCATACAGATCAGATTATAAATTTTGTCGTTTGAGGGTTTACATGGTTCTACAAACTGAAACAAGGTTCTCAACTCTGGAAGTAATCTACAGAAATTGTTGAAATTTGACAGGCTTTTTCGTTTCACTAATTTAAATCATGCATATAAATTTCACAAAGATCACGTGATAACCTTTTGCGTTAGAGCGTTCACAAGGATCAATAAAATGAAACAAGGGCCATAACTCTAGATGTAATAAACGGAAATTGCTGAAATTCAATAGGCTTCTTCGTTTCAGCAATCTAAATAATGCATATAAATTTCAGAAAGATCGAATGATAACTTTTGACGTTAGAGCGTTCACAAGGATCAATAAAGTGAAACAAGGGCCATAACTCTAGACGTAATAAACGGAAATTATTGAAATTAAATAGGCTTCTTCATCTCACTAATGTAAACAACATATATCAATTTTATAATAATTGGATGATAACTTTTGGCGTTAGAGCATTCACAAGAAATTGTGGACAATGGATGGACGGACGGACGGACGACCGGACGGGCGGCGACGGCAATATACGTCCACATTTCAATGTGGCCGTATAAAAATGATCAAAGTGACTTAGCAGTTAGACATTTCAACAGATGAAATGAAATGGGGTTTAACGTTCTACCGTTTTACACCAACTGGGCTAATAAAAACGGTCAACAGATGATGTCTTATCCATTTTAGAAATAACCCTAAAGAGTGATCAAACTGACACACCAAAGGGTCCTAACCTAAGATAAGTTTATAAACAATCAACGGACCAGGAACAAGCATGCCAAATTTCATTTCGGTTGTGAGAGAGCGATGGGGTTTAATGGCCACTAGACACAAACTAGGTCATTTCGAGACAAACACGCTTCAATTTTATTTCAATAATTGGCTTGCGCGTAGGGGTCTTTAGCTGTGAGAGGACACCAGAGGATTCTGAGAAAACCCATGAGGTTGGACAGGTGACCCTACTCCTTGTCATGTACAAGCGGGGAATCGAAACCAAGCCACTTGACTCAATGACAGACCTTGTGATTTCACGTGCAAGTGTTAAACCACTAGACCACCCAACCACCTCATTTCGGTTGTACTTGAATAGGGAGAGCGTCACCACATATTTATGAGATAAAAAACAAAAAGTTGTAAAATTGTTCAAATCATGAACTCCCTAGATGAAATAACTGTTATAGAAAGAACAATCTCCACTCACCTAACAACATCACGTCTCTTCCATCTAAGACAGAGAGAATATCTGTCTGTTCCCGCATCCAGTAAGAAATTATCTTGGGGGTGACAAAATTTGTCTTGAGATAATCATAGGACTGAGAACTCAGACATTCTACGTTCATTATTTTCAACATCAGTGCTACTTGATTGTAGTTGCTTCCCGACATTTCTATACCAGCCGCTAACAATAGGTCTCCTAAATGACCCTGACCTTGTAATAAAGGTTGTGAACACCATTCTCTAATTATGTGACCTTTTGAACAAGTCTGAAAAATATAAAACAAAAAGTATTTTTCTGAGTAACCTGGCATAAACATTTTAAGAACAAAAATGAAATACAATAGGGTTTACTGTCCTTCTCGTCTGCAACAATTGGTCTAATGGGGATGGGCATACAAGATGCAGTGTGCTATGAGGGAAATTTTTCACCAACAGCAACATTCCCACCAAAACTTCATCGAATTCTAACTGTGAAATGTTAATTTATGTGGACGCTATCTCATTTTTTGTCCCATTCGAAAGACTAGATGTTTTACTTGCTAGAACTTTCTTGAATTCAGGCCCTCTTTGTTAACCATTCTTGGTATCCCCAGTGGTCTCATTCCGTTCTACTTCACTAACCTCTGGGTTAATTCAGGGGGGGGGGGGGGGACATATATTGAAGTTATCTGCCCTTGATGATTGTGCTATTTTTATTGACCAATCCAATAAATCATTACTTGCGATGAAGTTGGCGAAGGAAACTAACTCTCATCGAGTTGCAACAAGCTGCCATATAGTACTGTTGTGAACATAAACATAGAAGCTAAAGAGTCTTAGTAAGACTGGTTTTGTAAACTGTTTTTTGATTGGTTCACAGACTCAAGCTACGATCAAGGCCAGAGCAGATAATTCGAAATCGTGGAAACCTATGGATTAACCCATAGGAGTTGAACAGAATGAGACCACTGGGTAAACCGAGGATGTTCGTTAACTAGCCAGGACAACAGTCTCAGAGTCACATTTTTAGAAAAAATTACTGTATCTTATGGCATTTATATAAGAGCATTCTTCTGAACTATATTTTCAATATCTAAAATAGGCAAATTTCAAAACATACCCAAATAAAATTTATAGAAGTTCCCGAATTTTTCTTCACCATACTAACATCACCCTTACAATTTTTAACAGTACAATCTTTAGGAGGATTCTGATTAGCCAACTGAATCAAGCAACTGTTGTAAACCAGAAAAGCATTTTCACGAGCTACGGCACATGGATCTGTCACATGTATAGGTATAGGACTTGTCATATGCTTATGTTGAGCATGATGGCCGCTTTCTACATCATTTCCATAATTCAGGTTAAGAACATTTTCAACTGCTGATATTTCTTCAGGAATAATCTCATCCCCAAAATCAGGTTGACTAAAATAAATATATTAATAAAGAAGTAAATAAATTGGACTTTTGAATTTCATGCATGGAACTTGATCATAACATACAAATTCTGGAAGTAGTGCATGGTAACCAGAGTAGAAATGATGTCATCTGAAGATATTGAATTTTTTAGGAAAAAGTTATAATTCCTTTTTAACCATTTTAATAAATCATATCAAGAGGTTTGGTTTCAATCTGACCGTGCATCTGTTAACCTGGTATTCGTCTTAAAATGAAACAAAACCTGCTATGATAGTGTTAGTAATTTAAAACAGCTTTCACTTCAATAGTTGGCAAAAAAAATAACGTATTCTTTTTCAAAGAATATGGCAATTCTAACATTGTCCCGATTTTCTAAACATAATTTTAAACACTTTTACACACAGAAACTATAAATTTATTGTGTTTTACAGTTTATTACTTGAAAATTCTAATTTTTTAAATTGATCAAGACCCCCAATTGGAATGCTTTTTATTATGCATATAACTATGCTAATTAATTAATGCACTTCTATCATTCGTACTTACGGAAAGTAAACTCCATAATCGGACAAGTTGAAATTATTCAGATTGTACACTGTTGACTTATTTTCATAACGTTTAGATTCCCTTTTCTGTTGCCTGAAAAACAAATATTATGGACAATTAGCCTTTTTTGTTATTTTAACATGTTCATGCTCATATTGTGTTTCTAGAACTTCACAAAAAGAAGTAAATAGAGTGTCCGTCTTTATCTTATATAAATGAAATGGAGTTTAACGTCCAGCTTTCTGCACAAACTGGGCTGATGAAGACGGGCATACATTTTGCGCAAACAGCAGCACCACTTTCTATTTCAAATTGTCATGTGTTCTTTTATGTGCACGCCAACAGAACTTCAGATTTTCAACAACACCGGGATCTCCAATTTGCGGGCCTGTGTTTGTCTTATATACAGTGGGTCATTGAGTTGTTACTAATACTATGCATAATAACTTACCGGTGCAGTTCTGTTTTTTCTGAATTGTTTTCTTCTTCTGTGTATCTGTTTGAAGATAAACAGAAAAAAATTACTTGTGCAATTAAAGGATTACTAAAACTAAGAAAATCTCCAACTTTCCCATATACAATTAGGGCTTCGACTATTTCTGGTTCAGAAATCAGTATCAAAATTCAGCAAAAATGACAATATCCAGCCTGGTCACCATCTGGTCGTTTACCTCTCCAACAGTCATAATATTTGCATCAACCAGTTGGAGCAAGAAGTAGAAAGCTAAACTATATTTCATTTCATATTTGTTTAACTATAACTAGTTCAATCTACATGTAATGTGAATAGCTCTAGCATGAATGGGACAAAAATCATTACATTTTTATTTGAAACAATGAATGAAAATCAGCACTTATTCAATTGATATTATTTATTATATTGGCCAACCTGACACAAGTGCAAATGATCACAAATTAAAGGAAGCTGAGAAACAGATATTTTTGAAAAGATGTCATAAAGACACGGTAAAATAACTCAAGTGACAATATTACGCATCCATTTATTTTCTCAAAATGAGTTTGCAAGGTGTTAAAAGGCTCCAATAGCAGCTCACTTGAGACGTAGAACCTATAACATGATATTCATTACCAAATTATCATAACCATCAATGAAAAAGCCATGATTCATGTACAAAACTCATAGTTACGATGCCAATGACTGTCACTTTATCAATTCAATATAACACCGGTGCTTTATAAACTTTAGTAGGCCCCCTATGCCTATTACTTTATTTGGAATTTAAGGGACAGATAAAATAATGCCAATTGTCTGTATCCCATTTTGCCTCTGATCATTTTAAATATGGTTAGGAATTATGGAATAAAAATTGAAATAACATTATGGCGCTATTGCACTTTCGTACCTCTACCAGTTCCCGTAGTCGTAGGCACTTGAAATTTTCAGAGGAGGGAACTGGTAGAGGTACGAAAGTGCAATAGCGCCTAACATTATAAGGTCCATGGATAATGATGTAATTATGATTCATTATTATAAATTATGTGACGGTATGTATAGACTGAGAGTGAGACATGTCTCACCTGTCAATTAGAAGTTTTGCCAATTCCTCGTCACTCAGCTGTAAAGCAGTTTTTAATTCAATCCATCGAGGTAATTCTTCTCCTAAATCAACTATCGGACTGTCTGTGTGTCCATTCTTTTGTTTTCTACGACTGCGTCGATTTTTTCTCTGATAATTCCCTGCAACTTTCTCATTTTCGCAGGAATCTGCCTCCATGTTGTTTATGCGTATGACTTCATCATCAAGTCCTTCGGCTCCGTTTATTCCATATCATATAATATAACGTCTGGATATTCGGGAAGCGTTGTCGCGGAAGTGTTCGGGCACATGGAGGTTTCTGGTTCGTGACGTATGCAGGAACACGGAATCTCGTTAGTGTCAAAGGTCACGGAGTATTTATTTACAACCGTTTATTGGAAAGGCTGCAGTCGTGTTCAATATTTTCTTGCCTGGCCATAATGTCCGGCGAGATAGAAGTGGATTCTGCCTATCGTGGAGTAGCGGCATCTTGGTTAGGAATCGACACAAACATTTATGCAAAACGTAAAGCCAACAAAAGGTATAATTATGAATTATATAAGGACCAGTAACAGGGGTGGCGCAGTAAATTAAAGGACATCACAGTTACATTTTTCATTTTATGTCATAATCTCCATCTATAATATTAGTCATTAGTAATCTTCATAAATAAAACGAAGCTTGAAACAGTTTTTTGTATAGTTTGAGAGACTTTTGAAATAAATTTTTAAGTAATCTTTCGGGAGAAGAAAGTAATTATTAATATTTCTGCACCAGTAGTACGTAGGCCCTGGTGCATTATCTGTTGAATGCCAGGATTATCCTACTAATATTAATAATAATAATTCAGATAGATATATATAATGAAATCATAATGTTTTATTGAAACAAGCAATCAAATTCTTTGATAGATATATACAATTAGGGCTTTTTGGGGGCAAGGTTTTTAGAAACTGGCAAAGGATCTGGATAGTTTTATAAAAGTCAATTTAATTTTATAAATTGGGAACCCAAATAATACTGTATATAAAATTTTTGTGAGAAAGAGACAGAGAAATCACACTAACCAGGTTATTTCAGAACTAACATATATCTAAGTTAATGTCACCAGATTTTTGTCCTTGTGTGGCAAGGAGCACAAAAAAACCCCACAACACAATTTACCGGTATGGAAAACCATCACCGGGTTGTACACAGTTTTGTACATGAAAATGATAAGAGAACACTTGTCGAAACAGTATTGTGCAATATGTGTGAAAACCATGTCGATGATTATTTTCTTTATAAATTGTGTTGTGCCATTTTGATTATACATGTATACAATAATAAAGATCAAGCCATACCATGTTGAAAAATTTGAAACAACAATTGTTAGTGAAATAATGCCTGTATATTACATAATTGATTAAGAAATGGTTGCACCAAATTCATATGAAAAACCCATGACATTTGATCATGTGACAAAGTCCCAAAGTATTAAAATATAAATGATTTAAGCTGTTTGACATCATCAATATATATAGAGAATTACCCCAAAATTCAGTGAAAAGTCAGATCTTGTGATTTATAATTTTTTGAGCTTTTGTAAAATAGCTAGTTTGTAAATCTTCTTGTTTATGGACATTGTTGTCTATCATCAAACGCAGAGGTAATTGAGGAATAAATGAAAAAGTCATCTATTGTCAGTGGCAGATCTAGCTAGAGGCCCCAGGGGCCCGGGCCACCCCTAAATAACAGTATTACAAAAATTCACTTACCAGTAACATTCTGTTTGTATGAAACATGTCAATTTGAGCTTTGACCTTACTCCTTGTCATGTACAAGCGAGAAATCGAAACCGCGCCACTTGACTCAATGACAGACCTGATCCAACTCGCACTCATTAACTAATTGTATTATTGTATATATTGAAAATGGATATCTTCTTCTTTTTTTTAGTCAATTCAAGTCAAATTATGGTGAAAGTGAATCTTCATCACAAGAAAAAAAGAAAGACAAAAAGAAAGTCACTACAAATTACCTAATAAAAAACAAGATAGAAAAGAAAATATCATCAGTAAATTACTGGAAATCACAAAATAGATTTGGTAATACATCCTGAATTCAAAAAAATCAAATGATTAAAACAAAATTAAAGATTCTGATGGCCATTTTAACTTTGCACGGCTTAATCATGCTAAAATGTAGTCTAATTGACTGTTTAACTTTTTCATTAGGAAAACATTACATAAATATTAGTGGTAGATAATCTCTTTAATCAGATTAAAGAGATATCCATTACATCGCCTGAAGAGGATGTCAATATTGACAAATTTCCAGACTCGACTAAAATATTTCAAGTACATTCTTGTACCTTTAAGCACTCAAGGCAGGGTTGGGTTGTCTAGGGGTTTAACGCGGGCAGATGAAATTACAAGGTCTGTGATTGAGTAAAGTGGCGTGGTTTTGATTCCCCGCTTGTACGTGACATTGAGTAGGGTCGCCTGTCAAACCAAGTGGGTCCTCCAGTTTCCTACCACAGCTAAAGATCCCTATGTGCAAGCGAATTATTGAAAGAAAATTGAACCATATGTTAGTCCCAAAATGACCTAGTTTGTGTTGAGTAGACGTTAAACCCCATTTCTCTATCTCTCTTTAAACATACATTAAGCAAGAGATAAATCTGCCTATTTCAGGTCTTTCTTTAGGCCTGAAATGTTATCTAAATTATTAAATAGACATAAATTAACTTAACCAGACCATAATCAACTCTCGATGTGATCGCTAACCCGCGATATTTACTGGTTTAGGATCCGATCTGCTGCTCTACGCTCATTCATGATTAATTCAAGAAATGGATAATCGAGGCTATGTATTTTATTGTACCGACTTTGGTAATGATGATCAAGGCTAGGATCAAAATTCAGTCGCTAAATTCTTGGTTCAGAGTGGATAAATTTGACTGAAATTTTCAGTAAATTCCCATTACATTATCTGGTTTTTAACTATTATAGTGAGAACTGCCAGCTCTTTATCTAATCTCCCATAATGTGTCTTTAAGCAATCAAGTGCCAACTTCTATTGACCAGGTATAGATTGGCGAGAAGGGTATTAATTTATTGGCCCAAATATTGGGACTGGATATTATAACAACATTTCAGCAAACATCAATTTACTTAAAGGAGCTAAATCGCTAATATTTGGGGGCTAGAAATTGACACAAATGGCTCGCAATGCATATAGTAATGTAATATGAATGTATTTAAACTGATTTACATTCAATCGTTTCTGTTTTTACTCTAATTTCTAATCAGTTATGTTCGGCGAAATACGTCAGAAGTCTCAATCGAATTGCCATCTCTAGCGTCTGGTTATTCTAGTCTACACAGATAGTATTTATTGTTCATGCTCTCCAGATAAAAATATGACGTCACCATTTCACATGACTTGTGGAATATGTCTAGCCACGTTTTTTGAGTCCCTTGTTACAAATGGCACTGAAACCCATTATGGTACACGATTCGTGTACCAATGGTAAAATTTTTATTTTGTCTTAAATATTGGATATCGGATGCCCATCTTTTCCCGGTAACATCACAATCACAGCATCAATGTTGATTTAAATTGACAAATAATTCGGGTTTTCAATGTCGAAGACTCTGGATGATATTGAGTTAGAGACTTAGCTACTTTAACAGTACCTGTACAATTTAAGAATGTAGTCCGATTTCTCATGGAATTATGGAATATTGGATATAATTCATATTAATTATGGTAAAACTTTGATTTTTTTCCAGAAAACAAGAGAAAGAGACCCCTTGAAGTGGATGAAGAAGAAAGTAAAAGTAGTTTAGTTAAGGCTAAGAAAGAAAAAACAATTAATGGGCCGTCATCCACTTCTCTAAATCCCAGTGTTCATGAACTGAACACAAAACTGCTTGATCCAACATTATCGAAAAAAGCCAGAAAAAGAATCCGAAAAAAGATTGCCATGTTAACACAGGGAAATACATGAAGTAAAAGTATTTGCTAAGAAAGTATAAAGATATATATGTGATTTAGTTCGCAGATGGGGACAGTTTATTAAGACTTATTCTGAAGATGGGGATGCAATCAGAACACAGGTAGTCCAGAAGTGAAATATGGTTTTTGCTTGGCCACTTTTGTTGATTTTTTGTTTAAGAATCAGAGATGAGGGTTAGAATTGATATTTTCTGCAAGGTTTTGGTGAATATTCATGGTTTAGAGGTGGAAGGATAACATAGTTAAGAGGTTGGCAAGGGTGTATAGTTACATGTTATTAGTATGCTACTTCAAGTTTGTGTATCTCAAATTTTCAGTGGTCAAGCTCATTCAAACTTTGGAGCAAAGACATGGCCAACGAAAAAGTTGAAGTCCGGCAAAGACACCAGAATTAACATTAAATCAATAGTTAAATTAATGGTGGTCTGCATCCTGATAAATCTGCTTTATTTTTATTATCTCCCTTGACACACTAAATGGAGATAATATACTTCTTTTCCTATCAAAAATTGATTCAAACTTCAAACTATTTACACTCTTCCTCCTAGATTTTGTTTTTATTAGAATATAAATCATTTGTTTACAAGAATATTTGCTTATATGTCCAATGACCATGTTGCATTTTGAAAATAATGTTACATCAAATAGTTTTACTGACATGACCAATCAATGTTGAATTTTTCAAATGTGTTTTTTTGCATAATTACAATGTATATTAAATAATGTAATAAATATTTCTTGTTATTGTATATAATATTGTTTATTAAACATAGTTAACTTTATACAATTTTTAATTTTCATTTTAAAAATTTGAGCCAGCTCTTCCTTGTTAGTACAGATCTTTGGAACTGAAATGAAATGGGGTTTAACGTCGTACTGTTCAGCTCCTATACTGGGCTAATGACGACGGGCATACGCCATACAGTGTGCTATGAGGGACATTTGCCCGGACAGTGGCACTATCGCCTACTCTTATATCGAATTCCAACTGCCAAGGGATCTTACGTGCATTCCAATGTATACACGGGACCTCGGTTTTTCGTATCATCCAAAGGACTAGACAGCTGTCCTTGTCAGGCCCTCCGTTCTGCACCACTGACAAGGGGAAACCACGTCAGAATCTTTGGAACTAAAAATATCATTGTTGTCTCAATTTTTGAACAGAATTTTGATACAGAATATCTTTGGAGTACACTCAGAGTATGCTGGTTAGTACGGCTTGTCTTCATATACACATGGAAGGTATATATAATTAAAACTACTCTAACAAGATAAATGAAACGTAGACGGGCATATGCGATAGAATGTGCTATGAGGTATATTTTGCTTGGGCAGCGGCTCTATAGCCTACTCTTAAATCAAATTCCAACTGCCAATGTATACACAGGACCTCGGTTTTTCGTACCATCTTAACTACTAGACAGCTGTCCTTGTCAAACCCTCCATCCTGTACCACTGACAAGAGGAAACCACTTCGGAAAATTCTGATAAACTTTCTCGGCCAATACAGGGTTTGAACACTCGACCTCCACACTAGCGAGCCAGTAAGTCAAGCACGAAATTAATGCATAAAATTCAACCACTCACATTATTTAGCTTCTGTGGCAAATAATATAAAGTACACCTCAATAATACTATAAACAACTGAACACTACATATATTGGTTAGGTGTACGTGTTTCATTACAGACTTAATAAATCCCACATGTTATTGACAATGTACATATGGCTACAATAACATGTGGTATATAGATTCCATATATAATGATGACCTTGTGTGTTGAGACACAGCTCCTTATTAGATGTTAATATCCAGTTTCCCTTTTGTTGGGGAGGTATATAACATCAAGTTTCCTGATAGTTAAACAGACTTGGAATAAGGGTTCCTTCCAACCAATTCATACTTCATCCTAGTAATAAAGTTCATATTATTTATTAGTAGTTGGTGCAGAAAAGAATGGATTTAAATAAAAATATTTACAGGCTTATACGCAAACTATACAATTTATAGTGTAAGTTGTTGCTGTGAATCCCCCCTTTAATGGGTTAGTACTTATAGGATAAATGGGATCAATCTTTTCTTTAAAAAATGTTACCCTTAAAAAGAGTATTCTCCCTTGTCATAAATATAAACTATTTTAGATCTAAATTACAGACATAAACAAAAAAACTTGGGGAGTGTTGTAGAACAATAAGCCGTCGGTATATGATGGAATTAATTATCTAAATCTCGTGACAATCCACTTATTCATCATGCAAAGCTTACAAATAATACCGTTAACATGGACACGCCCATTTCTGTGATGGGTTACGTCCCTTGGTAGGTGTCTTCTACGGCAATCCAATATGGCAGCCTCCTATGTGGATTTGTGAGACGTGTAACATAAATTTTTGTTTAAGTCACTTAAAAATGTCAGGCAAACTTTAATATGGCTCGTGTCAGTTTATAACTCGTACGTATTTTGGATCTGGAAATTATTTCAGCACTTTACCACGTGACTAATCGTTTGAGTGCGTGTAACCCGGTTGACAGCTGAAGTTGCAGTTTATTTTTGTTTGTTGACATTATTAATGCACTAATCGAGTTAGGCCAATCAGCAATTTTATCTAGTCCAATCATAAATGAATTACCAGTGACAGCATCAGCATTGTTTTAACGGGATTTATGAGTGAATTAACTGATTATTTTAAATTAATCCACATCATAACAATTATTTTTTGGGTGTCACAATAATATTTAATCTAAATTTGCTTTTATTACCCATAACTGTTTGACTTCAATACCACATTCAAAATGGCTCAAGGGTCACAATTTAATCCAGCTGCAATGAAAAAATTATTGGAAGGAATACAGAATGATTTGAAAACGTTATCATCTGAAAGTAAAAAGAAGCATGTAGAAGTTAAAGAGGTATGTATGTTTTAAATGAAGTGCCAAAATAAATTTATGACACATTGTTCAGAAATATTAATGCATATTTTGTAATTTGGAAAGATAGTTGGGACATTAAATTAAAACAGTTGAATGTAGTAAACCTGGAGTTCCTCACTTTTGGAAATTTGCTGTCACTTCAGCAACACCCATGATTGTCAACTCAGTGTAACTTTAGACAGCAACACCCATGATCAACTCTCTCACTACAGCAACACCTTTGATCAACCTGCTGTTGCTTAAGCATCACCTATGATAAACTTAGTGTCACTACATTAGGATCAACCACTGTCACTGCAGTAACACTCATGGTCAACTTGCTGTCATTACACTAAGACCTGTGGTCAACTCACTGTCACTACAGTAAAACCCATAATCAACTTGATGTCATTACAGCAACACCCATGAACAACCACTTCCACTACAGCAACATCCATGATCAACCACTGTCACTACAGCAACACCCATAATCAACTTGATGTCACTCACTACAGCAACACCCATGATCAACCACTGTCACTACAGTAACACCCCATAATCAACTTGATGTCACTACAGTAACACCCCATAATCAACTTGATGTCACTACAGTAACACCCATGATCAACCACTGTCACTACAGTAACACCCCATAATCAACTTGATGTCACTACAGTAACACCCATGATCAACCACTGTCACTACAGTAACACCCCATAATCAACTTGATGTCACTACAGCAACACCCATGATCAACCACTGTCACTACAGTAACACCCCATAATCAACTTGATGTCACTACAGCAATACCCATGATCAACCACTGTCACCACAATGACACCCCATAATTAACTTATCACTACAGCAACACCCATGATCAACCACTGTCACTACAGCAACACTAACCATGCTCACTTTAAAAACTGTGGAACATGAAGAAATTTTGTATATTACAATTGTAACTGTCAAAATTAAATTCAATTCACATTACTGTTCTGCAATAAAGTGTACAAAACAATATAAAGATCAGTGATTAATTAGATTGCAAGCACATGTACTTAAGGTACAAGACTTAGAATCTCCATATCCAAGATTTCATTCTGTGTAGCATACACAAATACACAATGACTTCTGATCATTTGTCAACAATATAAAATATTATGAGGAGCGATTTTCAGCTGTAAGATGTTCGACAAAAAACTTTCCTCGTTCAAGATTCAGGAGCTCAATTAATAGTTTTTTTTAGATACTCGTTAGGCTAGACCTTTAGTTCAGCTGAATATCAAAACTTATCTTTCATAATTTTATTGTAAAATATCAAATTGATGTTCCTTGATTGCTCGATTTTTATTTTCATATCGACCACATGCTATTATTTTTGAATTTCAGTCAGCAGAAACTATCCAGTTGAAGTTAAGAACAATTTCTGCTAAAAATGAAAATTTGATAACAGGTAAGAAAGATTGTATTTATGATCAGATACAAAAATTAAACATGTGAGATATATATACACAAAGAACATGTCTGCTAATCTAAGCATTACAGAATGAGTGACAAAGAATTTAGGCTAGGCTTTAGAATCTAACCACCACTATTCTTGTGGACAATGTGTGGTAAAAATCATGGTAATGACGGGAATGGTAGCCTCAATGCATAAGGCGCTGGCTCAGTAACTAGGGGGTCTTGGGTTGGTCGAGAAAGTTCCATGGGATTTTCCGGTGTTGTTTCCCCTTGTCAGTGGTGTAAATGTAGGATGGAGGGCGTGCCAAGGAACAACATCTAGACATTTTGAATTCTGATGTTACGAAAAACCAAGGTCCTGTTGCTTGCATGTAAAATAACCCTTGACAGTTGGAATTCAAAATAAAAGTATGTCACAGCACAGTTTTCTGGGCAAAATTTCCCTCATAGCACACTGCATGGCATATGCCTGTCTTCATTATCCCAGGTTGGGGCAGAACAGATTCTATAATCACTCCACATTAACATCACATTAGTATGAGAAAAAAAGCATATCTTTTGGAAAATTAAATAATTTCAAATTTTTGTTGATAAACATATGTTTTAATGCTGGTTTGTTCTTTTTTTATTTTATTTTCAGGCTTGATACCAGCGAGTTCTGAAATTATACAGCCATTTGTTTTAGGGTGTGCTACTAAAAATCCTAAGATTGTACAGCTTAGTCTGTCATGTGTACAGAAATTGGTCTCTCATGAGGCAATCTCTACTGTAAGTGTTTCTCATACAAAAACATTACATGTACATGTTGTAAACAATTTATTAATTTCATTTTGAACTGTTTAGATTTACATAGCATTTACATTAATTTATTGAATTCATTTTGAACTGTTAAAATTTACATAACATTTCAAACATCAAAATGGAATGCTTCTCATACAAAAACATTAATGTACATGTTGTGAATAATTTATTCTTTTGATTTTGAACTGTTTAGTTATACATAGCATTTCTGACTCATACAAAAACATTAAATGTACATTTGTGAATAATTTATTCAATTCATTTTGAACTGTTAAAATTTATAGTATTTCTAACTTCAAAATGGAGTGTTTCTCATACATGTTGGGAATAATTTATTTATTTCATTTTCAACTGTTAAGATTTACAAAGCATTTCTAACTTCACAATGGAGTGTTTCTCACACAAAAACATTAATGTACAATAATTTTACATTTCATTTTCAACTGTTAAGATTTACATAACATTCCTGACTTTAAAATAAAAAGAATTTTATTTTCTCTCACAGACTGCAGGTGGGGCTATAATTAATATGTTGTGGTCTTTAATGGATATTGTACATTTTAATTAAAAGAATTTTATTTTTCTCGCAGGCTGCAGCTGAGGCTATAATTAATATGTTATGGTCTTTAATGGAAGCAGGAATGGAGGAATTAAAATTATTACAGACAGCCATATTACTGATTACAACTAACTGTGTTGTACAGCATGATTCATTGGCCAAGGTAAAGAAACTAATATTCTCAATTCATCTTATTGATTAGGTCTTAGTTGTTAAATACACAGATTTTATTCATTCATTCTTTTGTCATTAGTCAAGTTAAACATATTGTAATTTATTAATGGTGCGATTATTGAAACTTGAAAGGGTATTTTCAGTCATGTAAATATAGATCAGGTTATATCTGTTGCATGAATTTATGAAATAAATTTATAATTATAAGTATTCTAAAAATTACATCTATAAAAAATTTAACTGTTTGTTAAGAGACATTTTAAATTTCATTTGGTTAAATATTGTACACTTTAGATGCTTTAGGGAGCCACGGTGGCTCAGCGAGTAAGACGCTAATCCGGAGGTCCCGTGTTTGATCCCTGCGTTGGCCAGGGTGGTTCCTTCTTGTCAGTGGTGCAGGACCAAGGGCCTGGCAAGGGACAATGTATAGTCGTTTGGATGGGATGAAAAACCAAGGTCCCAAGTACACATTGGCGTGCACGTAAAAGATCCCTTGGCAGTTAGAATTCAATATAAGAGTAGGCCGTAGAGCCACGGTACACATGAAAGTTGCCTCATTGACACTACGTGGCGGATGCTATGCCCGTCTTCATTAGCCCAGTCAGAGCAGAACAGTAGCACATTAAATCACATTTCATTTATTTCATTTCTTTAGATGCTTTATTTGTTAATACAAAGAAGGAAGAAGATATGTCACATGTTAGTCTCAAAATAACATTTTGTGTTTTGCAGTCATTATTTTTTAAGGCAGAGAGAGAAATGTGGTTTAATGTCCACTCAACACAAACTAGGTCATTTCGTGACTAACATATGGTTTAATTTTTTTATTTCAATGATTCGCTTGCGTGTAGGGGTCTTTAGCAGTGGAAGGAAATCAGAGGACCCAGGGAAATCCCACGAGGTTGGACAGGCGTATCGCTCTCGAGCACCTGTTGCGCACCTGAATGTTGACCAAAGGTAGATTTTTTCCCCTCCCCTTAAAATTGAAAATCGCTCTCCTTTACAAAGTCATTGGGGGTTTATTATCATTTATGTAACCAGGAATGACCCCATTACATGCAGTTATTGATTTTAGAACCATTTCCCATGCACATAACTAATCACTTTCTTTAAGATCAGATCACTCTCCTTAATTTCTAGATCGAAACTCTGAGAGTTTTTTTTAGGGGAGTAATTTGTTTTTAATTTGTTGATTGAGGGGAGCTTTTTTTTGGCTCTCCTCTGAAATACAAACAACAATGACTGGTTTTGGTGGACATTAGATTAAACCCTTCCCTTCTCTCTGTGTCTTTTTTCAAAGTACAGTATAACATGTTTTATATTACAGGCTCTGGTTCTGTGTTTTCGATTACATTTTACAAAGGACAGTACAACTATAAATACAGCTGCTGCTACTATAAAACAACTCGTTAGTATTGTGTTTGATAGAGTCATAGCAGAAGACAAACTACCTACAAATGGTAAATTATTTTACACTTAAAAGGGGCATTATGTAAGATTTAGATAAAGAGCTGGCTGTTCTAGCTATAATATTTTAAAAATAGATAATGCAAAATGAATATATTGAAAATTTCATTCAAATTACTTTATTTTGAGCGAAGTTATTAATGGTTGTAGTCTTGACAAGATGTGTGCATTGATCAGAACCACTGTACTGGTTATAAGAGTCTTAGCCTCGCTTCTCCATTTTTAAATTAAATCATTAAATGGACGAACTGTTCTAATTGACTCAAAATCAGAGTCTTCCAAAGGCATTGAGAGTTCATTCACCCGTTTGGTGCTGAAAAGTAGGACGTTAAACCCCATTTCATTTCATTTCCAACGTTATGAAAATCGTAAAGTATCGTAGTTTTAGTTTATTATTGCACTACAATAGTAGAATTAAATTACTGTTGACAGCATGATGAATATATTGTTGTATTGTTTTCGAACCATAGCCTGATATTCTTGTATTGTTTTTCGAACCGTTACATGATATTCTTGTATTGTTTTCAAACCGTTACCTGATATTGTTGTATTGTTTTCAAACCATTACATGATATTTTTGTATTGTTTTAGAACCATTGCCTGATATTGATGTATTGTTTTAGAATCATTACCTGATATTCTTGTATTGTTTTCAAACCGTTACCTGATATTCTTGTATTGTTTTAGAACCGTTACCTGAAATGGATGCTGGTGAATTAAAGGCAGGTAGTAGAACACCACCAACCTCATTAAAACCATGTGCTGGTGATGCTTATTTATTGTTTCAGGTAAAAATAATATTATACACACGTAACATGTAGTATATTGACTTCACCCTGATGTTTGGTTTGTAAGTCGGTGGGAGTGGGGGTGGTTTCTTGGTCTGTGGAAATAAGATTGTACCACGTTAGAGTCATAATTACCTAGAGTCATAATTCTGCTTGTATGTGACGAGAAGTAGGGTCGCCTGTCCTACCTCATATGTTTTCTTTGGGTCCTCCAGTTTCCTCCCACTGCTAAAGACCCCTTTGCGCAAGCGAATTAATGAAATAAAATTGAACCATATGTTAGTCCCGAAATTACCTGTTATAATTCTGCTTGTATGTGACAAGGAGTAAGGTCGCCTGTCCTACCTCATGGGTTTTCTTTGGGTCCACAAGTTTCCTCCCACTGCTAAAGACCCCTTCGCGCAAGCGAATTAATGAAATAAAATTGAACCATATGTTAGTCCCGAAATTACCTAGTTTGTGTCGATTGGACATTAAACCCCATTTCTCTCTCTACCTACCTAGTTTATTTCATGTGGACATTAAACCTCATTTGATCCTTTAATATGCAATAACATTATTATATCCTCATAATAATAGTCTCTAGTCTCCACTGTATCTCGAAAGGCAGAATTGCACTTTTAACCAAGAAAATAGAGTCAATAAAATTGACTACTCACTGTTCCATTTTCACCTTATGCTAGATTAGCCCTCAATATTGTCATAATTTTTGACTGGTTTTTATGCCTATATTTCTGTGTATATATTTATGTTTTCATTTTTTCTCAGGATTTATGTCAACTAGTAAATGCTGATCAGCCATTTTGGTTGCTAGGAATGACAGAAATGACAAGAACATTTGGATTAGAATTACTTGAATCAGTTCTCAAGACATATCCCACCATCTTTCAAAAGGTTAGATCATATCTCTTTCACAAGATTTCCATTACTCTTCCATTTAAACTTACATTTACTTTTAACATGTAATTTTGTAGATGTTTGCTTTTTACCCGAATTACATTGATGTTTTGTTCAACTTCTGCATGTTTTGTTGCACACAAGATTTCCATTACTCTTCCATTTAAACTTACATTTACTTTTAACATGTAATTTTGTAGATGTTTGCTTTTTACCCGAATTACATTGATGTTTTGTTCAACTTCTACATGTTTTATTGCACACAAATTTTGAATATTCGAGTTTGAATGGGTTTTTTTTAAGGCTATTCAAACTTATTTTTTATTGTTCGTGATTCGATATTAATTGATTTTGATCTGTTTTTTGTCTCGTATGAAATGTTCACTATTATCAAATCATCTAATATTCAATTATTAGCATGAAAGTAAAGGAAAATAATTTCATTTAGAAATCTTAAAGAAAGACTGAAAGCATCCTCAAAATTGAATATTCGAATAGCATTTGAATAGAGGCTTAAAATATTCATAGAGCGAAATCAAAATTTGATGTGATAACTAATACCGTTATCATATTTACTTCCTTTAAATCCTATTATTGTAATTTTTCAGTATCCAGAATTTAGTTTTATGTTGAAAGAAAGAGTATGTCCATTGGTTATTAAACTATTCTCTCCGAGCCTGAAATATAGACAGGGAGTTCCCCCACCGCCCTCACCTGCTCCAGTAGAGAAACCTTTCTATCCCATAGTGATGAGACTTCTACGTATTGTATCAAATCTGATCAAAAATTATTATTTATTGTTGGTAAGTATAAAATCGACAAATCTCTGTATACATAGAGAATCTCTTACGAGTCTTTTTGGATATCAAAAAATATCAACACAAGTCGATAATGTAAAAAAGAATGAGGCTTTGCCAACTTTTTTTTTAACTTTATCAACGAGTGTTGATGTAGTAAAATCTCACTCAATGACTTCCAAAGTATTATGGGCCTCTCATGTATTTCACTGTATTATAAACAAATTATCAAATCTATATCCTTGAAATTCCAATTCATTATAAAGACCACTCCACTATTAAGACCAATTGGGGGTTGGGTGGTCTAACATGTGAGCTATAGATCATAAGGTCTGTCATTGAGTCAAGTGGCATGTGTTTGATCCCAAGCTTGTACGTGATAAGGAGTAGAGTCGCCTGTCTAACTTCATGGGTTTTCTCCTTGTCCTCTAGTCTCCTCCCACTGCTAAAGACTTGTACAAGCAAACGAAATAAAATTTACCATATGTTAGTCCCGAAATACCCAGTTTGTGTTCAGTGGATGTTAAACTCAATTTCTCAAGACCAATTTATATCATTTCGCCAACTGATCTAAAGAGCAGGTTTTAAATTTTAGTTTTAAATTTATACCAAAAGACTTGAACATTGTCTATAAAAATTCATGCTACATGTCACATTTAACAAAATATTTTTTTCTCAGATGAATTTCAATTTTGCATGGTAGATGATATTGAGATGTATATTTTTTTTTTAAAATGTATATTTCTAGGTCACAGAATGTGAGATTTTCCTGTCTCTGTTAGTGAAATTCCTTGATGCAGAGAAACCATTATGGCAGAGATGTCTAGCTTTAGAAGTTATGCATAAATTATGTGTTGATCCTGAATTAGTTAAGTAAGTAGTTTACATGTGTAGGATGACCCGTGCACTTTACAGAAAGTTGGTCTCGACACGGCTAAATGTGCACGCTTCAGTTGCGTGTCTCGAACTGATTTCTGACTACCCCGCACTCGCTTTGAGTCGATAAATAGCCATGGCACATGCAATTCTCTACAAATATATCAACTATTACAGCCATAAAAAATCTATTGTTGACGATTTTGAATAGCAGTAAAATTTAGCTTCTTGGTTATTACAGCAGCTTTAGTAATTAAATTGCTTTATCATTAACTGTACCGTTAAGAGCGGCATCTTTTGGTTTAGTACAAATACTATCTCTGAATCACTTTCTTTAGCAGGAACATGATACTAGCAGTAGTTTCATTTTACTTTTACAAGTTTCTTAAAACAATTGTTGAGTTGTCTAAAGTGCTTATTTCTAAATTCAATTTCTTGTTCTAGCTTTCTGTTATGTTTCGTAAAAAAGTAGTCTTGATTATCCCGACCTGTCAATCAGACGTAGAATGGTCGATAGACTGGTTAAGCGAGACTAATTTCAAAACAAGGGCACGTAACCTATCTTTTACTCAAAAGTGTCTGGATGTTATGGACGCAACTTGGAACCAGTTTTCAGTCTATTATTTATAGATGATTAATGGTCATAGCTTATTAAGTACAACATGATCGTTTATTTAGTGACTATAATTGTGTGAAACTGATTTGAGGCTTGGCATATATATAAATATTGTGGCGTAATTGTCGAGATATTTGGAGATATTTATTTATGGTGGGTCACCCTAACATGTGCTATTAAAGTAGAGGGTGGTCCTGTGCCTTAGATCTTAAGGTCTATTATTGAGATTAAAAAATGGAGAAAAATTGTTTGTTAGAATGATACAATTATAGATCTGACTTGAAACATAAAAAACAATTTTAGGATACTGCAAAAATGACTGAACAAAAATTGTGAAACTAACATGTTTGTGCTTGTTTTTACAGAAATTTTGTGATATCTTATGATATGAAACCACATTCAACGAAGATATTTCGTGATATAATAGATTCATTGGGTGCTTTTATACAGTCTCGGTTTATGAATCCACCAGGAGGTCCGGCTGCTCAGTCAGGTTTGTCATATATATTTAATGTGCTTTAATATGTTAGGAAATGTAATAAACAAGGGAAAACTAACATTAAAAAAATGTTGTTGCCAGGGTAACACATTTATTTGGAAAAAACTATGAAAAACATAGGTACAAAACATCTCTGCAACTAATTAAGATATCTTCACCACCCCCCACCCACCCACCTCAATAATCATTTTGTGTTTTGTTGAAAACAAACTTGAATTAGTTTTTGGTATACAAGAAGACGAGACATTTTGGTGACTGAATCGTTTTGTTTATATTCTAGCATATAAAAAGATAATACCGTCAGTATTGTAAGGATGGCTAATTTTATTCTCTATGTTGAATTATTATTGGTAATCTTTTATATATATTTTCCAGGACTCAAAGCTCAGGATATCCAGGGTACACCACCAGCTCTGGTTGCTGGGTTACCTGTAGGAGGTGGAGTCAGTCCTCAACCAGCTTTCATGTATCGAGGTGTATGGATACCTTTAGTTATGAATATTCCACAAGGTCAAACTAAGCCAATCTTGTAAGTTAACTATTCAGTTGATTTGTCTGGTACATTTTACATGACCATAGCTCTTCACAAGAACCTATTTCTTCTCAAATGGCTAGAATCGTGTCAATAGAGGCTGTTATCAACTGTATTAAAGATACATTATGGGAGATTAGATAAAGAGCTGGTAGTTCTCACCATAATAGTTAAAAATTAGATAATGTAAAGGAAATTTACTGAAAATTTCAATCATTTTGATCCACCTTGAGTGTTTAGCGATTGAATTTTGGGCCTGGCTTCAATCATCATTACTAAAGTCGGTATGATAAAAAACATAGTCTCGATTATTGCAGACAAAATGCCTTATATGAGATGAGGCCTGATATTTAATCAAATCCACTACCAAACTATCATAAATTGACTCGTCTTTGATTTATATGTTATTTTTTTTAAATTTTAGTTTAGAAATGTTAGATAAGATAGATCCACCACCTGTGTTAGAAGGTTATGGTGTAACGGTGGCGTTTCATTGTTTACTAGAACTGGGTAAAAGTGTACAGATTCTAATAACAGGAGATAATTCAGAGAATAAAAAAGAACAAATTAAAACTGAAGATTCACAGGACAATTCTGATGAACAAAAAGGTTGGTGTGACAGTTCACATAGTTTTAAAGGGGTACCTGTAAAATTAAAAATTTGAATGACATCGTACATCATGTACTTTACATGGATTTAAAATAAATAAACCAACCAAGGCTAATGAACACAGTCAAATGCCATGCAGTGTGGTATGAGGGAAATTCTGATCGGACTGTGGTGATTTGATGGATATTCTGTCCGCACGGAGGTAGTATGGCTCCAAAACTCTTAGCTCACACGGAGGTGCTATGGCTCAAGAACCCTTAGCTCACACGGGGATACTATGGCTCAAAAAACCTGAGGCCAATTCCAGGATATTTACAAAGCAACCATAGGGTTTAAAATGCTGAACTTGTAAAATCGAGATTCATATAGACCATACCGTGGTACTTCCATCTCGGTTATTGTTTGCTTTAAATTTTTTAACTGATAGCTTCTAGCCAATGGAAATTAAGTTAAAATGTTCAGTTGTGTGGGAAGTATTAGAATTTATAGTGGATCGGGTCTTACAAGCTTCAAACGACCATATTTATCCCATTGTGAATTCAGTTTATTTTTATAAGTCCACATTTTGATGTGGACTTTTATTGTTGTCTTCCCTGTCCTTCCGTTCACATTTTGTTTTTGGACACTTTACAGGTAACAATTTTTATCTGATTTTGACGAAACTTGAAATATAGGTTTCTATCCCAAAGATCTTGGTGCTGTGCGATATTGGCATGTATTGAACTATAACTTCATGGATTATGGCCCCTGATTGTACCAAAAATCATGCTTTTTGCTGTTCTCTAGACGTCTCTTGCAAAATATGGCAACCGCTTGTTTATTAATTTAATATAAGTGTGTATTATATATTAATGAGGTATATTTTTTTGTACAGATGATGTTGAAAGTAAACTACAGAATAGTTTAATAGATTCGTCATGGTGTGGAATGCTTGCTGCTCTTTCTCTACTTCTAGATGCCAGGTAAATAAAATCTCAATCTACAATCAAACAGTTTACTATATGAATGAAATGGAGTCTATCGTTGATTTAAGTGGAGTAGTTTCGATCCCAGCTTGTACATCATAACGAGTAAGGTCATCTTTCCAACCTCGTGGGTTTTCTCCAGGTCCTCCCATTTTCTCCCACTGCTAAAGACCCCTACGAGTTGAAGTTAAACCCCATTTTTCCCTCTCTCTATAACATGTACACTTCTAGTATTTTGTTGTTGATTCCCAATAACACAGAGATCGTGGTTAGCAAGCGTGCGTTGCAACATAAGGTCTGTCATTGAGGCAACTGGCGTGGTTTTCATTCCCTGGTTGTATGTGACAAGGAGTAGGGTTGGCTGTCGAAACTCGTAGGTTTTCTCCAGGTCCTCCGGTTCCCTCTCACTGCTAAAGACCCCTACACACAAGCGAATCATTGAAATAAAATTTATTCGTGTGTTAGTCCTGAAATGACCTTGTTTGTGTCGAGCGGATGTTAAACCATCTCTCTCTCTCTCCTATCTCTCTCTCCCTCTCTCTCTCTCCTTTCCAAAACATGTCCACAGACACTGGATATTGATGACTGAGGATTCTTGTTCTTGTTGATATATTAACATGTTGGGAATTTGTTGTTTATTACAGTACTGATGAAGCAGCAACAGAATCTATATTAAAATGTCAGGAATCTTACGCTAGTCTTTGTGGTCAGTTACGATTAAATACACCTAGAGACGCTTTTATAACAGCTTTATGTAAAGGTTCTCTTCCACCTCATTATACACTCACAGTACTCAATACACAGAATAATGGCAGTAGTGGACAAAAAAGTAAGTTTTTACGTGTTTTTTTGTTTTGGACGGAGGGCCTGACAAGGACAGCTGTCTAGTCGTTCGGATGGGACGAAAAACTGAGGTCCCATGTACACATTGGTGTGCATGTTAAAGATCCCTTGGCAATTGGAATTTGATATAAGAGTAGGCTGTAGCGCCACTGCCTGGGCAAAATTTCCCTCATAGCACACTTTATGGCGTATGCCCGTCTTCATTAGCCCAGTTTAGGGGCAGAACAGTAGGACGTTAAACCCCATTTCATTCATTTTTTGTTTTGGCCCATTTCTTACGCCCAAATTGAAATACAAGGAACTTCCAATCAATGGAAACGAGTAATAGAAACCAATTACAGAATATTTGATGGAATGGTTCTTGATCAAATCAAAACGATGCATTTGAAATGCAGTCATCCCTGATTGTCTGTCGTCCACAATTTCTTGTGAACAATCTACAGACAACATATATCATCCATTAGAATGATGGCAGTAGTGGACAAAAGAGTAAGTTGTCAAGTATTTCTGTTTCTTTTGTATTGGCCCATTTCTTAGATGCCCATAATGAAATGAGATAATTAACAGAACACAATATCGAAATACCATCTTTTTATCCAAGTTTCGTCAGTAAAAGTAATGACTTCTAAAAACAAAATGACTTGAAATTGTTTACATAGAAGAGTTGTTATATAACCTACGTTCCGGTTGATGTGAGGGATTAGCCAATGAAACAGTCTGCTATAGCAAGTTCTTGCACTGAACAGTGGTTAAACATTCGCAGTGAAGACAAAACAAAAATTGTATTTCTAAATACCAACTTGAAACATCAACACAGATTAGTTAATCAAATGTCTGACGTCATAGGGTTAAAATCTGCTCGTATGACCCCTGATTCAGCCTCACACTACAACTGGTCAGACCTTCATGCAGTAGAGGCCATCAAAAGTAAAAAAAAAAACCGAAACGAAATATAGATATGTTTTGTAGCATTTATTAATTGCATAGGAATATTTTCTATTTAAATGAGGTAATATTGTTATTATTTTTAGCTGCCTTGTCAAGATCCCCTTCTCAAGATCTGCAAGTCGCAGGAACAGAAGCCATGGAACGTAGTCATGTAGTAGCAGTAGGAACAGCTCTTCCAACTGCTTCCCTGCCTGCAGGTGCACATCAGGGACCAGTCATGGTAAGAAAATATTGATACAATATAGACAGGTGCTATTGTCAATTAGGCAGGTTGAAGGGTTAGCTAGTGCGCATTGTATCATAAGGTCTATCATAAGGTGCGCATTGTATCATAAGGTCGACTGGCCTGGTTTCGATTCCACGGTTGTACATGACCAGGAGTAGGGTCATCTGTCCAACCTCGTGGGTTTTCCCCGGGTTCTACTTTTCCTTCCACTGCTAAAAGATCCCTACGCGCAAGCAAATTATTGAAATAAAATTGAACCTATATTTCGTAATAAATGATTATTTTTCTAAGATTTTATTTCTTAGTCTAATATAGAAGTTTTTGTTTCCACCGTACTGACGAAGTGGTATAGACATATGAATTCAGGGGGGTTGGATGGTCGAACGGTTAGCATGTGCGTGCTGTATCATAAGGCCTGTCATTGAGTCAACTTGTTTGTTTTCGAATCCCCGGTTGCACGCAACAAGGATTAGGGTCGCCTGTCCAACCTCGTGGGTTTTCTCCGGGTCCTCCGGTTTCCTCCCACTGCTAAAGACCCCTACGCGCAAGCGAATTATTGAAATAAAATTAAAAACCATATGTTAGTCCCGAAATGACCTAGTTTGTGTCGAGTGGACGTTAAACCCCATTTCTCTTTCTCCCATATGAATTCACAAGACCATACTATAATTAAAAACATGAAATATGAACTCAATTGTCATAGATGACCGACAGTCAGAATTGTGAAGTGGAAACCCTGCTTTATTATATAGCAGTAAATGTTGATACCTTGATACTTCATTATTTAGCACGACTGGCTAGAACTAATTTTATAAAAAGAATTATTTAGAGTTTAAATATGTATTATCTAATTAGAGCTAAATCTGCTTATTGCAAATGTTATACAAATTAATAATCAATTCTCTGAGACCATTGTTTGGTTATGGTTTTAAACAGATTGAAACTAAATCGTCATTTAATAATTTAATTTAAAAATGGATAATTGAGACTTTGTTTATAATCATAACAATTGTGGCAATGAAAATCAAGACTTCGCTATTCTTCAAACAGTCATAACTTTGCTCAGAATAAAGTAATTTATATGATTCATTTGAGAAATTACCTTTATTGGGCTGTTTTTTTCAAGAAAGAGAGTTCTTTCCCTTTAACAGTAATGAAATATCATCTCAAGTTGTCAAGTAAATTTGTCCATTAGTGCCATACCAAAAGAAATATTCTGTTTTTCAGACAATCTTCAGAACAAAACAAAAATCTGCTGTGGGAGGGAGGTTTTTATTTGTCAAATTATTGACCCCATTTCAAGATTTACTTTTATCTAAACTATATACTGTACTGAATTAAATTTATTATAAAGCAGTAACTTATTGTCATCTAGTTCTACAGATAAAAGCACAGATTTTGCAGCTCTTGTTAATGCTTATCCTTAAATCTCCCATTTCAATCATTTCTTTCCCATTATGAGATATAGTTCGCGGGATAATAATCATCCACGAATGAATGGATTTAAAAGATCTTTAAAAATTAAGCAGATAAATCCTTGTTTGCCATTTCTTGATTACAATTTACGATTGTCCAGATAGATAATGGATCTTACTGATCATGAATACGTCCAAATTCAACCCAAAACGTGTAATAGAGCTACCTCCATTTAGCGACACTGCTACAATCACTGAGAGGGGTGACATTGGTGTGCGTTAATTATCTCGCAGTATTAAATTTTTTCATTTTGCAAATTGAATTTTAGACAATTTTATTGAAGTATTAGAAATATATATAAAGGTGTTTGAAGTATATCTGGATAAAAATTATTTAGTATTTAGTGTAAATGGGTATATGAAATGAGTAAAAGGCATCATTCTGCCCGGACCAGTTGACATTATGTAAACAATGCACACACCCTTGAGTCGCATGATGTGATTTCACGTGTAGAATGAATATGAACTCATAAAGGTCAGTCATTTTATTCAGAGGTATATTAAGCCGCTTTCGCAATACCTCTGTGTAATAGATTGCCATTTAGAGTTGGAAATATGAACACACAGTAATCTATGAGGATTTTTTTAAATAAAATCCGGTCAGGTGGGACTTTTCAAGTGACACTGCGGCATCTGAGATTGGAATATTTTTTTATGTCCCCTTAATGGAGAGATTAAAAATTGTATTTGTTATTAAATTGTATTTTTATCTTTGTAGTTAACAGCTAAAAATATACAGTGTATGAGAGCGTTATTAAGTTTAGCTCATTGTAGAGGTGATATGCTGGGAAGTGCCTGGCATCTAGTTCTGACAACTCTCCAGGTAAAATACTTGATGTGCAAGAACGGAAAAATTATAAACTGTAGCAATATATGTAACAAAAAGAACCCTTGACAGTTGGAATACGTACATTAGCCTGGATGGTGCAGAATGTTAGACCTCATGTCATTTCCGATTGGATGCATCACTGAGGTCCATATGAGGTCCATCCATTGGTGTGCATATAAAAGAACCTTTGACAGTCAAAGGGGGGTTGGGTGGACGAGTGGTTAATGCATGCACGTTGGATCTGAAGGTCTGTCATTGAATCAAGTGATGTGGTTTTGATTCCCCGCTTGTACGTGACAAGGAGTAGTGTCGCCTGTCCAACCTCATATGTTTTCTCCGAGTTCTCTGGTTCACTCCCACTGCTATAGACCCCTACATGCAAGCGAATTATAGTCCCAAAATGACCTAGTTTGTGTTGAGTGGACATTAAACCCCATTTCTGTCTCTTTCTTTTTGACAGTTGGAATTTGGTGAAGAGTAGCAAGAGTAGGCAAAATTGTCCTTCCTATAATTGCATAAATTACCATAGAAACAAAGAGGATCATATGTTAGTCTTAAATGACCGAATTATTGTGTTGACTCGACCTTGGGTATTTATTATTATTTATCTGAACAAAGTTTAAAAAGATGTCAAATGGTTTCCATTTTATTTCAGCATTTAGTATGGATATTGGGTTTAAAACCTTCGAATGGTGGCAGTTTAAAAATTGGTCAACAATTGAACGAATCTTCCAGTACAGTCATTACAACAGCTGTCATGGCGGATCTTCAAGTTTTGTCAGCCATGTTGTCACGATTATTTGAGAGTTCACAGTAGGTTTTAGGAGACAAAACTTTGCACTCTGATTTACATTGCTTATTTCTGATTGTCAAATGTACATTTAAATGTAACCCAATTCAATTGAAGCCGGGAGATTTTAGGTTTGATTTTCTTTATCGAATAAGCTTGAATTAAGCCCTTAAAAACTAGATATTTTCTGAAAAATGCAAATAATGATTAGTGGATTTAAGAAATGTGAAAGTTACGTAATTGAATATAAAATTATTTATAAATATTTTCCATTCTTTAAGGAAAATATTTGCATAGTAGGGAGCCATGGTGACTCAGTATGTAATTTCGTTTTCAGATATTTAGATGATGTAGCTCTTCACCATCTTATAGATGCTCTGTGTAAATTATCAACAGAATCCATGGAATTAGCCTATTCTAATAGGGTGAGTAAACTTTTAATGAAACAATATTATAGACAATATGTATCCTATAAACATTTTCTATATTTCTTGATAGAACTATGGTCAATATGTTCACAGTTACAGCAATAAAATATTGCAAGTCCTCCATGCTGTATATGGCCCAAAAGCTATCATTAGTTGTATTAATATGTGATTAACCTGACCCAGAAGCTATCAGAAGCTATCATTAGTTATATTAATATGCAATTAACCTGACCTAGAAGCTATTATTAATTGTATTAATATGCAATTAACCTGACCTAGAAGCTATTATTAATTGTATTAATATGCGATTAACCTGGCCCGGAAGCTATTATTAGTTATATTAATATGCAATTAACCTGGCCCAGAAGTTATCATTAGTTGTATTAATATGCGATTAACCTGACCCTTATCATTAGTTGTATTAATAGGAAATTAACCTGACCCAGAAGCTGTCAGTAGTTGTATTAATATGCAATTAACCTGGCCCAGAAGTTATCATTAGTTGCATTAATATATGATTAATCTATCCCTGACATCATTCAGAATGATGTATAAACACCACATCCTAAAAGTAGTGTCATATTTATCCAACATCTAAAAATTCAATATATTGTCAAATTTGAAGTACATGCCCTCTGATCAAACATGTTTGACATAGCTTCTGCCCATAGGCCAAAAGCCGACTGTAAATTTATTGTATGCCTTGTGATCAATCTGAACTGTGGATCCTTCTGTCATTGTTGTAGGCCAGTCTAGAACAAACCAGATACCAACATTATTAACAACCTTAAACAGGCATTATGTAAGAGCTAATCTACCTATAGCAGGTCTTTCTTTGGACCTTAAATGTTATATAGATTATTAATTAGACATTTATTAACATGACAAGACCATAATCAACTCTCGGTGCCATCAGGTGCTTGAGATTTAACTAGATTAGAACGGTTCGGTCATTTAATGATTTAATTTCAAAGAAGCGAGTCAAAGAGTTGAATATACCAATACTGTGGTCATGATAATAAACAGGCAAGACACACATCTTGTCAAAACTATAAACTGTGATAACTTACCTCAGAAAAAAATAATTTGAATGAAATTTTCAATATATTCATTTAGGGCTGTACGATATTGCAAAAAGGGACGATATCGATATTGGCATTTTTTTCAACGATATAGTTAAATATCGCGATATTTAATAATAATGTCACTTTGCTATTAAATAAATTAAATATAAGTGCATTAAAGCTGACTACAGTGTGAGTAAGAATTGTGGGTAAGAATTGCTTAATTCATACACTTTAAACTTTGCTTTTTTTATAATATAGATTTATTAAAATGAACAAAACAAAATCCTTTTTGGATAAAAATGTTTCAATGCTTTTTGTACTGCTAGTACTAGCTAAGTTTTCCATAATTAAATTAAATACAACCGCTAAACACCGCTGATGTTTAAAAAGCGTCTGCTTGTGACCTTGTGTAAGAAAATTTTCAAATATCACATGCAGCTAAAGTAAGTAGATGCGGTCACAAGTCTTGTATTGTAAATTCTAACAGTTTTACAAATACTAAATGATCCGGACTATCTTCCATTCAAGCATTCGATTGGCTGCGGTATTCCTGGCCTAACAGTGACAGTAATCTATTTATAGATTGTGTTATTCTTGCTTTCAGAAATTAAGTTTCGTAGAGTTTTCTAAAAATATTCGTTTTTTAAAAATATGACAACCTATTTATAGCCTAGTTATTAGCCGCGGTAGTGGGAAATTTCAGGCGTTTAGTAGGCCTAAGCTTTACATGTAGCAACAACTGACAAATTATTGTCGACTAAAAACAAAGTAAAAGTAACGCATACACGATGCAGTGAAAAACGGCTGCGGACACTGCGCAAGTGTTTTCAAAATTTAACGATACTCAAAACATTAGTTTTAATAGTTTATTGCCGTCGGCTAATTTCCACTGCTGTATAGTGTATTTATTATCTATTTTTATGATTATTTTTTTTCGATATTTGAAGTTTTTGGCGACATTCGATAAACCACTATATCGACGAGTTGGGTCTGAAAATACCATATCGCGATAAATGACTATATCGAGAATATCGTACAGCCCTATATTCATTTTGCATTATCTATTTTTTTAAATATTATAGTGAGAACGGCCTGCTCTTTAACTAAATCTTACATAATGTCCCTTTATGGCATTACAGCATTAATATTTCAGACGTCCACTGTTTGTATAGCAGCTTTTAAGTTTCTAATTAGTAACACGAGATTGCTATAAATCTCTAATTGAATGAATAATAAAAGTTCATCCCCATTATACTAGTTTCAATAGTAATATAACACACTTTACAACTTTTTGTGTATGACATTATGTGTTCTGTCCATTGCTTTGTGCCGAGGATAATAATAATATGATTGTGTAGCTCAATGAGGATAAACAGTCATAGATAGGCCGAAAAAATTGAACACTTGAACTTGTGTAGTTTATATATTCCCACAAATAATTGTACCAAGAATTGTGTTCTCTACAGAAAATCGTGACAATTTATCTCTATACCTGTTTAAAAATTTGGAGGTGGGGGTGGGGGGGGGGGTGGCCGAATGGTGAGCATGTGTGCGCTGTATCATAAGGTCTGTCATTGAGTCAACTGGTGTGGTTTCAATTCCTCGGTTGTACGTGACAAGGAGTAGGGTCGCCTGTCCAACCTCGTGGGTTTTCTCTGAGTCATCCGGTTTCCTCCCACTGCTAAAGATCCCTACACGCAAGCGAATTATTGAAATAAATTGAACCCTGTGTTAGTCCCGATATGACCTAGTTTGTGTTGAGTGGGTGTTAAACCCATATCTCTCTCTCTCTCTCTCTCTCTCTCTCTCTCTCTCTCAGTTTAAAAATTGACCACTTGAACTCGTGAAGAATATAGCTTCCTGGAAATAATTATTCCAAGACTTGTGTTCTTTCTAGAAAATCGTGAAAATTGTAATTTTATACCTGTAACTAGGAAGTTCACTCAGATTAAAAAAGAGCTATTTATAAGTTGTTGGCTTTAGGACATCCAAATCATGTCTTCCTGATTCTCTCTATTGAGTACCTCCATTATCTCTTCTATTTACATTTCGATCCCAAGCTTATAAGTGACAATATGGCTGTCTGCCCTTCGGTTTTCTCCCACTTTTAATAACCCCAATGCACAAGTGAAATGAAATGAAATGGAGTTTATCGTCCTACTGTTCTGCTTCGACTTGGATAATGAAGATGGGCCTATGTGCAAGTGAATTATTGTAATGAAATTGTAGGATATCATATGTTAGTCGCTAATTGAACTAGTTCATGTCAATCAAATTTCTCTCTCTCTTTTGGTATTTGGGGGGTTGGATGGCCGAATGGTTAGCATGTGCACGCTGTATCATAAGGCCTGTCATTGAGTCAGCTGGTGTGGTTTCGAATCCCCGGATGTACGTAACAAGGAGTAGGGTCGCCTATCCAACCTCATGGGTTTTCTTCGGGTCCTCTGGATTCCTCCCACTGCTAAAGACCCCTACGCACAAGCGAATTATTGAAATAAAATTAAACCATATGTTAGTCCCGAAATGACCTAGTTTGTGTCGAGTGGACACTAAACCCCATTTTTCTCTCTCTCTCTCTTTTGGTATTTGGTCAATATGTTACTTTAGCTTTGAGAGAAACCAAAGTGACTTAGTGATCAAATCAGCGGTCCAAACCTCTAAGGTTCTGGGTTCAATCTCAATGTTGGTTGAGAAAGTTTCACAGGATTTTTCAATGTGGTTTCCCCATGTCAATGGTGCACATCTGGGAAGGTCTGGCAAGGATTTTTCAATGTGGTTTCCCCTTGTCATTGGTGCAGGACTGAGAGAGTCTGGCAAGGATTTTTCAATGTGGTTCCCCCATGTCAGTGGTGCAGGTCTGGGAGAGTATGGCAAGGAATTTTCAATGGGGTTTCCCCTTATCAGTGATTCTGGCAAGGAATTTTCAATGGGGTTTCCCCTTATCCGTGATGCAGGACTGGGAGGGTCTGGCAAGGATTTTTCAATGCGGTTTCCCATGTGCAGGACTAGGAGAGTCTGGCAAGGAACAGCATCTATATTTGTTTTGATTGAACGAATAACCAAAGTCAGTTATACACATTGGTGTGCACGTAAAAGAACCCTGAACAGTTGGAATTCAATGAAGTCTAGGTCCAGGCAAAATTTCCATCTGTATTAGTCTAGCTGGTGCAGAACAGTAAGACATTTAAAACCCATTTCATTTCTAAATGTAAGTCTACAAATTTAGATCTAAATAAGAATAAAAAAAAAACAGGGGACCTCCTTACATTGTTAGAAGATTTGTACATATTGTTACAAGGAGTAAGGTTACCTGCCCAACTTCGTGGGTTTTCTCTCGGTCCTCCAGTTCCCTCCCACTGCTAAAGATTGAAATAGAATTGGGCCATATGTTAGTCCTGAAATGACCTAGTTTGTGTCAAGTAGACGATAAACCACATTTCTGTCTCTCTCTGTACATATTCTCTACATGTAATTTATATATAGTTAATAATTCTTTCAGTAGTTAGATGAAATACAATAAGTTATTATGGTTTCATTGTATTAGAATGGCCATAGGCTTTCTTTTAATTAAAACTCATTTCCCTTCCAATGGTTGGAGTTGTCATTGTTTGATTATTCTATGCTACAGTCCTGTTGTTCTTTAAGGAGCTAACTCGGTATTCTTTGGCACCTAGAAATAGACACAAATGGGTCATGGCGCGTTCAAGTTCCGCCCACTGCTAAAGACCCCTAAGCGCTAGCAAATTATTGAAATAAAATTGAACCATATGTTGGTCTCGAAATGACCTAGTTTGTGTCAAGAGGATGTTAAACCCCATTTCTCTTTCTCTCTCTTACTAGGGGGGTTGGATGGCTGAATGGTTAGCGTGCGTGCGCTGTATCATAAAGTCTGTCATTGAGGCGACTGGCGTGGTTTCGAATCCCCGGTTG